ACATTTTTAGTTTCAGCCTCATTCACAAGAAACGAAAAACAAGATAACTATCACTAGACTATCCACAATTATTAATACATATCAGGGGCAAACTCTGTCCCTACCATATGCCTGCTTTTTGAATTTTAAAATCAAAGGAAGGGCTGGGGTTGTGGTTCAGAGGTAGAGTGCTCACCTAGCATGTGTGAGGCACTGGGTTCGATCCTCAGCACCACATACAAATAAAATAAAGATATTGTGTCCACCTATAACAAAAAATAAATATTAAAAAAAATCAAAGGAAAATGTTAATCAGATAACATAGGCAAATGCCCCTCAAGAAAAGCTAAGGTTTATCAAAATAGGCTTATTACAGGAAATGGTATAGTTCTTTCACAAGCAACATTAAAAACTGGATTAATCATCCTGAAATTACTTTTCTATATACCCTATGGCTGAACAAATAAGTAAATATGCTGTAGGTAAGGAAGGTGAGGTTTCTCCCTTTCTCCCTGAGAAAGAAGTTGCAAATAAGCAAGAGGGAAAGGCTAGAATGAATTCTGTGGTACAGGATGAGATATGCAGATAGGGAAATAAATGTAGATATGTGTGTATATAGAGGTTAGTACACATACATATATTTCCTAGTTCTGTCTGCTCAGAGGACCTAGGAGTGACATTTTAGTAGCAACAGGCACACTTATGTCCAGATCTTGGTTTCTAAATATAATTCTTTAACAAAACGAACCATAACTCTCTGAGGAAATGGTTACTCATGAAAAATAGAAGATGAATCTAATTCATCTTGTAGAGTTAAAAAGGAAATATTTAAAAATAAATAACAAAATAAAGATAGGGGCAAGTTCAAAGGACACAGGAGCTAAGCTGAAAGAGCTCTCAGTTGGAAAAAATAGAGTAACAAAATAACTTATGAAGCATTGCATGATAACCCCCCAAATAAAATAAATATCCATGAATCATACTGATGTAAATAATAAATAAAGGAGATGTAAGACATCTTTCTTTCAGAAAAACACTAGTTAAGAGCTGGGGCATATGCCTGTAATCCCAGCTACTCGTGAGGCGGAGGCAAGAGGATAGCAAGTTCCAAGCCAGACTCAGCAATTTAGATCCTATCTCAAAAATGAAATAAAATAAAAAGGGTTGGGGATGTAGCTCAGTAGTAAAGTGCTATTGGATTCAATCCTCATTACCCCCACCCCCAGCAAAAACAAAACAACAACAACAAAACAACCAGAAGAATACCAGTTAATAAATACAGAAAGAATAAGGGGAATAGAAAATTCCATCAAACACACAATAATAAAATTCATGGATAAATGCTAAAAATGAGAAGGTAAAACCCTAAGGAGAAACAAAATATATCTAAGTATCTTCCCTAAAACTGTGGTAGTGAATATATGAAGGTGAAGTTTAGTTCTCCCTTCTTTTACTGTGGGCTGGATTTAGTGATCACTTTACTTTCTTTTTTGATATATGGTCTCACTAAGTAACCCATTGCTGATCTGGAAATTGTGGGCTCAAGAGATCCTCCTGCTCATCTCTCAAGGAGTCGGCACTACAGGCATGTGCCAGTATTCCCAGCTTAGTGATTATTTTTAATTAATAAGAGTATGGGAAGGGGAAAATGGAAACTTTATAGTGGGGAAAACTAAGAGACACCACCTTAACTAGGAGATCAAAGTTCAGATCACCAGTGGTAACTCATGCTGATATCATATACTCCTTAATATAATGAAGCAAGAAGGGCTCTTCACATCTGGATATTTTCCCCAAAAAATCCATAACCTAGACAAAACATCAGACAAACTAAAATGGAGAGATATTATATAAAACACCTGACCAACAGACCTTAAAGTGTCAAAAGTGACCAAGAAATTGTTACAGATCAGAGGAGATTGAGGAAACACGACAAGTTACCTGAGTAATGTAGTATCTTACATGGACTCCTAGAGTAAAAAGAGGTCACTAATGGAACATTAGTAAAAACTAGGTTAAGGTACATGAAAACTCTGTGTA